AAGTTCTTAAGGATCGTTTAATAAAAATTATTATTAATATTTTAATATTATTATAGCTTTTAATACGGATCTTTTTATTTAAATTAAAAATATCTATTTAATTAAAAATATTAAATTCTTAACCGATAAGGATTCTTTTTTATAAATTCTTAAGTATTTATACTCCGAAGTATAATCTTATAATAACGATTTTTTTATTAACTTAACTTATAATATATAAGTTAAATAATATTTATTTTAAGTTCTCCGTTTATTTAATACCGATAAAAAATTAATTAAAGGTATAGTTAATTATATAATTTAAAATATAAAATAAAATATTTTTATAAATAATTAATCGTCTTATTTTTAAATTTATATAAGCCTGTTTTTATAAGCCGTAAAAGCCGAAGTTAATTATAATTTTTATATAAATATAATTATAAAATATTACGTATAAATTAGCGATTTATTATAATAAACTTTTTATTATTAATAATTACGGGTCGATTTTAATTATATTTTAATAAATTAAATAATAATTTTATTAATATTTTTTTTTTATTTAAGACGATATTATAAGATTTATAGCTTAAGGAAAAGAAATAAATATTATTATATTTTAAAATATATTAATAGTTTAATAAAATAGTAACGTTATTAAAAATATTTACTTTTTTAAGCTTTTTGTTTTTTATAATTAAATTATTTTAATTTAATAAGTCTATAACGTTTATTTATAAATTAATATAAAATATATTTATTATAAAAAAACCCTCGTTTTATATTTATTTTTAAATAGCTATATTTATTATACTATTTTCGTTTTAAATATATACGTCTTAAATAATATATATTCTTTTTTTTTAATATTTATAAATAAGTTATTTTTGTTTTAAACGATTTAAGTTATTTTTTAAGGGTTACGAATAGTTTTTTTATTATTAAAGAGATTTTTATTACGGCCGTTATGTTTATTAATTTAATTAATTTATAAACTGTCGTAGTCGATAAAAAGGGTTTTTTATTTAGTTTATAATTTTTTTAAAAGCTTTTAATAATTAAAAATAAATAAATTTAAGGTATTAAGTTTTAGATTTAATAAAAAAGTTAGTTTTAGTTTTTAATTACGATTTCTATTTCCAATATACATTTTGCTTTTATTTTTTTTAATAATTTATTATTTTTTAAAATTATTCGTTTTAATCGATTATTTTATTTAGACGAGGTTTATTAGTAATAAAGTTAATATTTATTTTATTATAAATTAGTTTTAAAAAGTAATTAAATAAATATCTTATATTTTAAACTAATTAATTAATTTTAATTAAAAAATATTTAATATTTATATTATTTTTAACGTTTTTTAAATTATAATATAATCGGTTAAGTTATTATATAGCGATAGCTTTTAATATTTTAAAACGTTAATAAAAAAAAAAGCTTAGGCTTCGAGACCGTATTTATTATTTTTAAGTTCTTTTTATTATTATATTTTTAAATTATTAATATATTATTTATTTATAGTTTTTAATAAATATCTATTTAAGTTAAGGATAATAGCTTCTATATAAACGGGAGATTATTTTATATATTATTAAAATATATTAATAAAACGATCGATATTAATTTAAATAATTTTTATATTTTTTATTTTTATATTACGGGTATTATTATATTTAGTTATAAATTTAAACTATTTTATATTTTCTATTTAGAAATAGAAATTTATTATAAAAATTTTTATTAATAAAGAAAGTTATAGATTTTTATTATCGTCCGGGTTATTATTAAAGAAATTTTTAAAATTTTACGATAAATAATAAAATAGCGGTTTTTAAAAGCTTTATTTTATTATTAAAAAAAATAAGTATTTTATTTTATAATATAAAGGGTCGTATTTATAATCGAAATTAATATTAAAATCTTTTATTTATTTATAATTTATTTCTTATTAGGTTTATTAATTTAAATTATTTTAATATTAATTTTAATTAGTTTATTTTATAAATTTATTTAACGCTACGTAACGCAAAAAGTTATAATGGTTACGGTTTTATTATCTTTTACCCTTAATTTTAATATAAACTTTAATATAATTAAATATAATTTAATATAAATTTTTTTAAAAAATATACGCTTTTTTTTTTTTAAATTAAAATTCCTTAGCTCGGTAGAGGGGAGCGTAATTTATTTTTTATATATAAAAATAAAAAATTATTAAATAAATACGCTATATTTAATAAAAAACTAATAAGCTAAATAAAACCTTATATTAAACTTTATAACTTTTCCTTTTTATTAAATTAATTTAAAATAAAAAAAAAATTTAAATACTTTTCTTTTAATTAATAATAATAATAATACAAAAGTTTCCGGTTATTTTATAATAAAAAAAATAAAAAGATTAATACTTACTTTTAACGCAAAGGAAGTCTTTTTTAATTATTTTAATAATAGCTTCGATTCATATAAAAATAAATTAAATAAGATTTCTTTTATAATATTTATAATATTTATAATAAAAAAAAATAAAAATACTTTACGCTATTATAAATAAAGGTATATTTTATTTTAATATTTATTTTCGTTTTTAAATTATTTAAAAAATACGGTTTTAAATCTTAATAAATATATACTTTACGTTTATATATAAAAAATCTTTTAATATACTTAAGTATTTTTTTAAAATTTAATAACTACTTTAGCAATATATAAAATTAAAATAATAAAAGTATTTAATCAATTAAATACTTTAAACCGGTAGTAATTTTAAACATAATAATTAATTAATTAAGCAGCTCGATCAGCGTCTTTTAATAAAAAAATAATATTAAAATTTTAAAAAAAATAAATAATATCGTCGCTTTCTATTAATTAAAAATATTTAATAATAAAATTACGGCTTTTTAATTAATTTATTTTTTTAATAAAGTCGATACTTTTTAATTAATTTATTAAATTTAAAAAAATTAACGCTTTTTAATTTATTTTTTTAAAATATAAATATATTATTTAGTTCGTTAAAAAAGAATTATATTATTAATTATTATACATTTTTATATAATAAAAATAAAATAATATATTAATACCTTTTTTTAAGATTTTTTTATAGATTTTTTTATAAAAATTTTTAAATATATTATAAAAGTTTTAAAAGAAATTTTTAAAAAATCTTAAGGATTGTTTTATAATTTTTTTTAAAAAAATCTTAAAGAAATTTTAAAGAAATCTTAAGGAAATCTTAGGTTTTTTTAAATGTTTTATTTAAAAAAAATCTTTAGGAAATCTTAAGAATTTCGTAGCCCTCTTTTTTTTAAATAGCCGTATATAAAAGATAAGAAATTTAATTATAAACCGTAATATATTATTAATATAATAAACGCTTTTTTTTAATAAAAATTTAAAAAATCGGAAATTTTTTATTTTATATAACGTTAAAAAATCGTTTTTTTTAGTTTTTATAAAAAATTAAAATAGCGCGATTTTTTTATTTTATATAGTATTAAAAAGTCGCCTTTTTTATTTTATAATAGCTTTATTAATTTATAATAATAGTTAAATTATTAATTAATATTAGTTTACGTAATTATAGGGTGATTTATTTAATTAAACCGTGGTGACGAAAGGTTAATTACTTTTATATTAATCTTTACGTAAAGTAGAAAAGAGAGGTTTTAATCGTAGGTTAGATCGCCGGTTAAACGCTAATATAGAGACCCTTAGATGGCCCCTGCGCTAGCGCTGACTCGAGGTCGAATTGGGCTTTTAATTTGATAATTACTTTGAATACTAATCTTTTAATATAAAACGCCGCTTTATATTAATAATCCTGTAACGGGCAGGTCACCTGGGTATGAGAATAGTGCTTTTAAAAGGTAGGTCTGGTATTGAATAGAAGTTGAATCTTGGCCTTTTGCCACTAGGTGGCGAGAAGCTAGCTAAAAGGAGCCCCTTTTGGCTGAAACGGGGCCCTAATGGTTTGTGACGTTTTGCGCCATAATGACCTTGTGATACGTGAGAACGTATATATGATAATTATATATTATTTTTTTTATTGAGCTCTTTATTGATCGTCTTTTTATTTTCCAATATTACTATTTTTTTTTTTAATTAGAATTCTTATAGTAGAAAAGTAAAGCTTTACGTATCGTAAATATATTAGTTCGTAAGGTGATAAATAGCCTACCCCGTACCCCAAGAGATAATGAACTCGTTCTGTTAAACTATTTGCCACATACGACCATACCCATTGGAAAATTCGGGATCCCGTCCGTTCTCCCATAGACAAGCTAATGAGGGCCGGATTAGTAGTTGGATCGGTGACGACCAGCGAATACCTGGTGTTGTATGTTTTTGGTGTTTTGTTTGGGATGATATTGTCAGTTCTCGATGTGGGACGCAGCTATGCGCACGGGCGTTGCAAGCGGTGTACTAGCCCCTTGGGCACAACTCAACAATTTGGCCAGCATTTGTAATCCAGCAGAAAAATGGATTTCTAGACAGACACTTATTTCTCAGTGGTTTTGAGGAAAGACTGATTGATTTCTAAACCATATCATGTGTGTCGCTTTCCTGCAAGGTGTCTGAGACCTGTTCCGATTCGGAGATGACTATCGTCATCCACGGCGGAGTTGCGATTTGTCATGCATCTTCAACATTCCCCACCTCACTTTGTAAGCAGACGACGTTCAGTTCAGCTGAAAGATGCGAGTACATACTCGGAACCACGTTGTCCGTGTGCTGCGTCGGATCCGTCAGTTTCAGTGAATGCGGAGTCTGTGGCAGGCAAGTCGCAGCATCGGAAGCAGCTTCCAAGTTGGGTGTAAGTTCTGGGCGCAACCTGTTCTTAAAAGAGCACACGACAGTTCCTTTCAATACTTGAATTGCCAGTCTACTACCAGCCTCAATCTCCTAGCAGTCATTACTAGACACACCAACTTACCTGATTCACCTGAACCCAAGTTACTAGACAACCGTCTGAACAAGTCCCCACAGAAAGTTGCTTCAACCAGACCGAAATGGCCTCCAAGACGCTTCAACCAATTAGGGTCTGGACCTCCAAGAACGGCCCAAACCCATGGAAAGTCCACTTCGTCCTTGAGGAGCTCCAAATCCCTTACGAAGAGAAGTATATCGACTTTCCCGACATGAAGAAGCCGCCCTTCGAGAAGATCAACATCAACGGGCGCGTACCCGCCATCGAGGACGACAACACCGGCATCACGATATGGGAGTCTGGCGCCATCCTCGAGTACCTCGTCGAGACGTACGACAAGGCGAAATCAATCAGCTTCGAGCCGGGCACGGCCGAGTACTTCCACGCCAAGCAGTGGCTGCACTTCCAGATGTCCGGCCAGGGTCCCTACTTTGGCCAGGCCATCTGGTTTCACCGGTACCACCCAGAAGATGTCCAAAGTGCCAAGGATCGGTACGTCAAGGAGATCCGAAGGGTTTCCGGGGTCCTGGACAGGGCTCTCGAAGGACGCGAGTTTTTGGTGGGCGGGAAGTGTTCCTACGCGGACATTGCCTTTATCCCCTGGTTCAATGTTGCCTTCTACCCGTGGTATGACATGAAGGTTCCGGGTGCTTTTGCGGATCAGATCGACTTTGCACAGGAGTTCCCGAATACGGCCGCCTGGATGGACAGGCTCAGAGCTCGGCCCATCATTGCGGAGACCTTGAAGAAGAGAGCTGCAACTCTGTAGAAAGACTAAAGAAAAGGAATCTGGAATACTATCGCAATGAGTTGTGCAATGAAATCTGTTGAATCGATGTTTTCTAGACAGTGTGACAAAAGCGTTGCAACGGGCTGCACATTACGACATCTCGGTCCGAATCCCCACTTTTGCGGAATATCAATCCCGCCCCGGGCCGCTTTTTGTCAGCCTCAACCTGGCCGAGATCATGCCCGGCTTCCCAGGTGAGCCTCGCCCAGGAAGTCGGACAGAAGGCTGATTCACCACTGTGGTCGCTTTCTCATGATGTAATCTGTGCATCCACCACTGGAGGGGTGCGAGGGCCTATGGGTCGAGAAGATTGAGTTGGGCAGGTATTATTACACAAGAAAGAGATTAAAGACCATGAGACAAGCGGTGATGCAGGAGTATGGGAAGTGCCGCTCGGGGCCAATTACGCCCTTGTGATGTTTCTTGCATCAAGCTAGGTATCTTTTTTGGCAGATTACGACAAGAGCAAATCATCGTTGATGCAAAATCGATGATTGCTCCGCTCTACATTGCAAGCCTCGGGGCTCGCGTTCTCGCGCTTGGAAACAGTGGAGTTGTTGGGGCCGGCCTGCAGCCTACGCCCTACGAATGCACTCACTTGCCTAATCTCTGCGTAAAACCGAGATCTCCGAGCGCTGGAATTTTCTAGCTCGGCCCCAAGAGCTCAGTGTTGTTGCGCGCAAAGTTGCCTCACCGTCATTGATGGGTCTCCTGGCTGGAGCTGGTCGTCGTTAGTCTCTGGAAATAAACCGGGGCCTACGATGTAAAGTGGGAGAGAGCCCGGGAGGGCAGCACCTTTAGCGCAGATGTGAAGTCATGTATCAGTTTGCACATCCTCAATGACTCAATGTTGACTCGGCGTTCCTCCGGCTGCGTCGGTTGCAGTGTCAACTCTAAAGGGACTTCACACCCATATTTGTTGATCTGCCATTCCGGAACTATGTCCACTTGGCGCCTCAATCGACATATCTGAGGAAACCATTTGGGGAGATATGCAATCCTTTCTACAACGCCGGCGCGCGGGCATTGAAGCCCAAGCGCAAATCGACAGAGACATTGGAAAAGCGCGACATTCAAAAGCACCAAATCGGCCGCACGACGACGGAGGCAGGGATCTCGAGAAGCAATCTTCCACCTTACAGGAGGAAGAGAAGCGAGAAAGTTCACTCTTTGAAACACCAGGCGGCACCACCAGTGACCCCGAAAGTAGCGAGCGCTGGAATATTGAGGGGGGCGGGGACGACTTCGGGACAACCGTCGAACGGAGCCAGACGGCGCGGACCGGACACTCTGAGGGCACGGCCCTCGGCCGAGTCTTGACTGGCATCCACGTCCGGGACCGGACCGGCGATGAGGGGCACGGGGGCCGCGTCTTCGTCGTCGGCTGGGCGGGGCCAGCCGACCCCTTGGACCCGCACAACTGGCCCATCGCGAAGCGCATCGGCGTGACGCTGCAGATCTCCCTGATTGCCCTCTTTGTCGGGTCCGCGTCGGGTATCGATGCGACGGTGCTCCCTCAGGCCGCGAGAGCCCTTGGCGTCAGCAAAGTTGCCGAATCGCTGGCCACAGGACTCTATCTAGTGGGCATGGGTCTCGGATCCCTCATCGCAGGCCCCTTTTCCGAAACCTTTGGCCGCAACGCCGTGTACGCAGCCTCCATGGCCGTCTTCATGATCTGGATCATGGCGTCCGGCCTGGCGCCCCACTTTGGCGCCCAAATCACCTTCCGGTTCTTGGCCGGCTGCTCCGCCTCGACGCCCTTGGTCTGCTCCGGCGGCTCGATCGCTGACATGTACAACCGCCTTGAGAAGACCTGGAGCTTCCCCCTGTACGCTATCACCTGCTTTGGCGGCCCCATGATTGGTGCCGTCATCGGCGCCTACATCGGCCCTTCCAACGCCGTGAGCTGGCGCTGGGTCGAGTGGACGACGCTCATCTCCTCCGGTCTCGTGCTGGTCCTCGTCCTACTGTGCATGCCCGAGACGTACGGCCCGCTGCTGCTGCAGTGGAAGGCTGCGCACTACCGGCGCATCACGGGCGACGACCGCTTCCGCTCCGAGCACGAGATTGTTCACGCCACGCTGTTTAGTCGTCTCAAGACGAGCATGACGAGACCTTTCCTCATGCTGAAGGAGCCCATCATCATCGTCATGACGTTGTACATCTCCGTCGTTTATATCGTCCTTTTCATCTTCCTCGTCGGATGGCCTTACATCTTTGAGTACACCTACGGCCTCAACCAGGGCCTCGCCAACGTCATCTTCATCTCCATGTTTGTCGGCACACAGGTCAACTTTCTCTTTGTGCCGTTCATCTACTCAAAGACGGCGAAACGAGTCAAAAAGGATGGAAATGCAAGCTTCCAGCCGGAGATCCGTCTGTGGTACGCCACGTCCGGCGCCGCCATCTCCGTTCCCATCTCGCTCTTCTGGCTGGGCTGGACGAATTACGCCAGCATCAGCGTCTGGTCTGCCATCTTTGCAGTCGCCGTCTTTGGGTACGGCGTCACCGGCATCTTCATGTGCGTTTACATGTACATTATCGACTCGTACGAGATATACTCGGCATCGGCGCTTACCTTCGTCGCGCTCATTAGATATATGGTCGCGGGAGGCCTAACCGTGGTTGGGTTACCCTTTTTTGAAAAGATGGGAACGCACTACACTTTAACTATCCTCGCCTGCATATCAGCTGTGCTTGCGCCTATCCCCTACGTTCTGTATTACTATGGCCACTGGCTCCGAGCCAAAAGCCGCTATGCGGTATCAATGTAAAGTAGCATCATACACTTACACAGAGTCGCCTTTATACCCCATGGCAAATACTACCGCAGGTACTCAGCATACCTGCTCAATCAAGTTGGCCTTGACTTTTGCCGACCTGGCTCAAGAACTACATTCAGCCGGAAGTCAAGGCAATGATCGTCACAGTGTGACTATGATATTTTATTTTATTTTCAGATAGAGAATACTATATTTTTCCTTACCTAGGGACAAGGAGCTCATGTTGGGAGGTGACTACAGGGTTCGAAGTTGGTTCAACAAGGATCCAACCGGACACCTCCAAACGAAAATCCTCCAATCCACTTTCTCTCGAAGTCTTTGGAAATCATGAAGAACACCTCACCATCGCTATCAACTTCCACTTCTGACCCTGACACTTGGCACCAACCAGTGTTCCTCAATGTATTCCAGAGCCCAAACATGATCGTCTCCTCTCCATAACCATCATCATTGAAGAGTTCGGGAGGGATTTGTCGATGCTTATCAACATCAACGTTTTGGCTGAGGAAAGCATGCGGATTCTTTGGTCGTCCAACGCTGCAACGCAAGTTCCAGGGGTAGAACCATGACGAATCTCGCGTTGGATTCTCCCCCTCATTTACGTCTGCCGGAAAATACCTTTCGTAAATTGTGTTACCTGGTGAACCTTTGGGAGACCAGAAGGACGGCACAGATTGCGATGAACTAGGACAGTCCTTGCCTGCGAAGAACCAGAAGATCCATCGAGAACGGTATCGGCCACGGTCTATCCACTTGATGTGTCCACGGATCTGTAAGTTTGCGATCCGGCGACATGTTAGGATAGTGTCGCCAACCGGTTTGACTTGGTTGTTCCGTAAGATGTGATGGTCAACGCTGGTTCCAGGAGGATAGCCGTCGCCTCCTAGGGTTTCCCTATACCAGAACAAACGCCCGGGAAAGTCTTGATCGAGATCCCTCTCGTGCAGGCTTGAGAAATTCTTTATAGAAATGACCTGGGATCTTGGATTACCACCGACGTTCCTGTACCATTGCTCTCTGCGCTCTCTTTCCATCTCGAGTGTCTCGTCTCGAGCTACCAGCGAGTTTTCAGCAAGGCCTTGGAGCCTTGTGATGACGTTTTCCTACTCGTGATCTTGGGGACCGAACTTCACCATGTTGGAATGCGTGCGGGCAATGGCACACGTGTGCTGTGGGCCTTCTTCCGAACGGCGGCGGTGTGTTGCCGAGGTCTTGTCAACGAGAACTTTGACTGGTCCAGTCATCTTCCAGACCCCGGCTGAATCCTGCTTTTTGTCAACACACATCCAAAGGAGATAGTGGTAAAGACTCTCGTACCTTTTGTGCTGTCGGCGACATGAGTGTTTCGTAGAAATAGACAATCTCAGAGTCACCTTTTCCACCCAGAGCGGTAGGCAAATCACTCTCGCCGACGCTGGGGATCTGCGACTTGATGCGATCCAGAGACTGAAGAAGGGGGAGGTTCGGCCCGTCTCCGACCATGGGGATAAGCGATCCGATTTCCATGCCAAGATGCGGAACACCAAAGAAGGCGATTCCATACACCGCCCGAACGATCCGCGAGTCTAGTTCATTGTCGGATTTGGACATGTCAACCAGAGCCTGGCTTCCTTGTTAGACCTGCGCAGTTTCAGGCCAATTGTCCTATAAAGCTTACCTGCTTCACAACCAGTCCTCCCATGCTATGAGCAATCAGAATGATCGGCCTAGTCGGGGGGCTAGCTAATGGGAGTAGGCTGGTACGGAGTTGCGTCGCCAGGTCTTCTATATTTTGCATATTTTCGCTCCCAGCAAGAGTGGAATTGTAGCCCCAAGTCATCACTCGAGCCATCAGAGGTTGACGCGCCGCTTCTCTGAGGTGGAATGGAAGAGAGTCACGTAGCCATATGTGGCCTCCGCCCCTTTCCTTGAATGAACCGAAGGCGTGTCCGCCAAGGCCTGGAATTGCAACGAAACTGTCGAGCAGTCAGCATTGCATCGGTTTCCTCGAATGGAACTCTTGCTGCTCACTCAACATTGTGACTCTCTGACAATGGCATGTGCAGAGTGGTTATACCCTCGAAATCATCGTCGATTGTCACGAACTGAATGTGAAGGGGCTGGTTGTGGTCTTCAGACCCTGCAGGCAGCGGGATGTTCCATGAAGAATGAGCCGCTTTGAGCCCTTGAAGTTGAGATGGAAGAACTTGAAAGGTCACCGTGGCAGTGTTGGAGCGGTCGTGGATCTCGCGAGCGAGGGACCTGACGACCGGGACGCTGAGGGGGTCAGGTTCTGCCAGGAATGACTGTAGACGGTGGGCGCTCCAATCGAGAGGCACGCCGCGAACGCGGAAGGTGACGTTGGAATTTGGTAGCGGTGTAGGCTTGTGTTGTAGCAAGACAGGTAGTGGCTCGTCTGGCGGCCCCATCCTTCAAGCAGAACGGCCCTTTCGTCTTTCGGGTACTTTGGTAGCGTCCAAGTAAGCTCCCTCATTTTTTACTTTACGAGTGTGTGGAGAAGACAGAGCTCAGTAGACTTGGTGAAGAGGAAACTATGAGCACCATGATGGAATTAAAGGCTCGTACTGTCTAATGGATTGCGGCTGAGCGAGGCGTGATATCTCAACCAATGAATCCAGACAGTGTGACCAGTCAGCGCAGGAACAAACACAGTCCATCGGTCTTGGTAGCGTGAAGGTTTAAACGCGCACACTGATGTGTATATAGTCATTTGGATATTTCATTGGCCTTTATATTCATCTAAATGGGTTATGCCAGCCACGCCATTTTTCTTGGCTTGGCTGGGGGAGAGGGAGGAACCAGGGGCATCTCTGGCGTACGGGCCTCAGGGACATGTATAAAGAATTTTATCAGTTTTGCCGTCTATGAGAACCTTCTTACCAAAATTTCTCCATCGCTGTGAGGTCATCAGGTCTATAGCTAGGGAGATGGTAGACTATGAGGTCGATGTCAAATCACTGCAGGCTTGGATTGCAACAATAATTTCTTACCAGTGTGGTTCAGCCATGTTGATGAGTTCCCCGCCCAAGAGAGGTTTCCAGACTTCTCGCACATTCAAAGGTGAAGGCCAACTTGGGCTTCCGGCGACAACCGCCTTGCTGAACACTGCCCTAGGTAGATAACGAGAACGACGATCCAAGAAATTTATAGGAGAATCAAAGACTCGACGGGTCAGAGAAAAAGGCTATCAGCAAAGCACAGATGAACCAGGTGGCCGCTTCTCTCCGCCGCAACGCCGTTTGTTTGTCATACTGAAGCGCCGATAGAATATAAAAGCAAAAGAGGCTCGACCACACTGTCAAAATGATACCGACCGTCACTGCCACGAACACCAGTGACGTTAGAGCCACGACATACGAGAAGGCCGGAAACCTTCCATCGAGCTCAGTCTCTCGGTCGCCAGGGCCACTTGCAAGGCCGAGAGAATGACCGTGATGTGGATGAATCCCACCAAAAGCCACCAAAGTTGCGTTCGAAACAGGTGTTGTAATGCTTCGAACCCGAAATGTAGCCGTACACAAAGTTCCTCGCCGAGCACCCGGCTGCGGCCAAACGGTAGAGCTTGTTGAGGCGGGGCAGACACAGTTCGCTGTATTCATACCGACGGCTCACCCGGCTCCGCGTTTGGAGGCCAGCCTGACCACCGAACTCGAGAACCGTCTCTGTCCAAGTGTCCCATGTTATACAAGAAGGCAGCAAGCCCATCTCATGTGCGATCCGGAGACCGCTGCGGTAGCTGACGAGCCATACCTAGGAGAGCAGCAGCCCGCAAGCGCTCTTGTAGAATGCCTCGTCACAAGATATATTCTTTTCCCAAAAGGTGTACTCGAAAGGTCATTCAGGCAAATTTTTGATGAAGACTGTCGTGTCGTGCCACGTCATGTGTTCCTCGGGATTTTCGGTCACGCAAATGTCTCTTCCGGTGACCTTTTGACGATGAAGGGGACGCGCAGCCCGGCAAGCCAGAGGTATGGATGTACTGTTTCCAGCCTCGGCGCTTGCAGGTTGACCTGAGCCTTTGTGGCCGCCTCGCGACTGACATAACGCTGTATCTCCCGAGGCTAGTCTCTTCCCTTATTCATTCTGGACAGGTAAGAGCTTTCAATTAACACCAAGAGAACATGGATCTAGAGACGGGAGGCCACGAAGGATGCTTCGAGTTCAATTCATCATCTGCGAAACACGATAACCGACAAAAAACGCCCGCCATCCCAAGTAAGCTGGAAGAAAAAGACCCTGGAAAAAGCAAACAGGCATTTCGGGTGGGACGACAACAGTCAAGATTCTTACAAAACAGCAACTCTTATTCTCTTTTTCCTCCACTCCTTCCCCTCCCCGAGGCGTTGCACTTCACGTGCCGCGTCATCGTCAGTGGGCTTCTTTCGCCCGTCCCTTTTCTCTCTTCCCCCTCCCCCTTTTCTGCTCGGACCTGCCGCATCGTGTGACGTGAGGATTGTTTTTTTTTCTCTTCGTCTGCCTGCTTGCCTGCTTACTTGCCGCTCTCCCCTTCTCTCATCATCATCCCATGCGACCTGACCGTCCAATGTGTTTTTTAATCAAAAAGGACGAGAAGAGAAAAGCCTACAGTGAGTAGTTACAAAAACAAAGCAAATGAATAGCTTGAAAAAAAACGCCAGCCCGTGGGATGATGTTCCTCCCCGGGTGTGGAGGAGGTCCCGACCATGCATATAATAATAGTAGAAAAGAAAAAACACAAAACTTTACATCGTGCTGTCGTCGCTTCCGTTGCATTACCATTTCGTATGGGAAATACCATCCCCAAGGAATCAAAATCAACGCAGCCAACCCCCTTTCGAGTCGTGATCATCATGGGCCCTGCGTCTTTGCCCTTCCCTTCCCTAGGCAACTCGACCATGGACTGACTATCTACCCTGGGGTCTCGAACTGGCCATCTCGCCATGTCGTCCACGGTGCTGCGTCGTGTCGTATGCCTGAAGCACTCTCGATTGACTCTCGTCTGCTTGGGAGAATGCGTAGCCGCGCTGCTTGCGCATGCGCTGTACTTGCCGCACCTTGCGAATTGCCTTTTGGAATTGCTCCATTCTGGGATGGGTTAGTGGTCTGTTGCAAAGAGGGCTGTGGGTGTGAGGTAGCAACATACCTCGGTCTGTAATCTTGGATATTGTACTTCTGAATCTCCTGAATGTGATGGTATGTCTGCGGCATGTACATGCGCTTGGCGAACTTCCAGGCAAAATCGCGCAAAAGACACATAATCGAGAGCACAAAAGTCTGCAACCAAAAGGTCGGGCTGCTGTACAGCTTGGGAATGACACCGTGGTACTCGGCCGAGAAGGGAATCATGGGCGCCACGGTACCGTACAGGGCGATGAAGCCCCACCAGAGAAGCATACTGCCGGGAATGGCCATGACGTGGTACTTGGTCCAGTTGTTTGTGATCAAAGCCGCCTTGCCGAGGACGGTGAGCAGGACCGCAGCGTACATTGCCGTGCCCCAGACCCAGTGACCGGCGATTTGTCCATCGCCTTGTATGAGATCGCCGTACCAGATGAGCTGGCCAAAGACGTAGAGGATAATGGAGTGGTACACAGCGTTGGCGACCCACTCGGCAAAAACCTTGATCTTGAAGAACTGGTTTTGCTGGCCCATGTTGTACAGCTGCGGGTAGCGGTCGAGGAGCCTGGCCGAGATGAACTGGTCAAGAATACCCAGGGCAAGAGGAGGGAAAACGGTGTAAAAGACATTGTAGAACGAAAGTGTCCAAGACTCGTAAATGACGGCACCAGAGAAGACGTTTTGGAAAGTGTACTAGCCAAGTTAGTGATCTGGAGTCCGCGAGCCGATTGACAACAAACTTACCCAGAATTGCGTCATGTACAGGGTTATGTTCTTGTAAAAGGAGAAAAGGATGGTCTTGGCGACGCGCTGGTAGCTCCAGGCGCCGTGAACGAGCAGTAGCTTTCTAAGGTACCGGAACTGGCCAATGGACACATCGGCGCTCCGGGCGGCCTGTAGACCTTCCATACCACTGATACCCACGCCGATATGGGCAGCCTGAATCATGGACACGTCGTTGGCGCCGTCGCCAATGGCCAGCGAGATGGCCTCCTTTTGATACTTCTTCACCAACTTGACGACGAGAGCCTTTTGGAGGGGAGAGACACGGCAGCAGATGACGGCCTTGCACATGATGGCGAGGTCAAGGAATTGCTTCTCGAGACCCTTCTCCAAGGCATAGGTCAAAGACTTGCCGTCGATGACGAGAGCAAGGGTTTCCGTTTCGATCGTTCCGTCTCCTTGAGTGCGAATCGCTTCGAGCTTCTTCTGGATGTTGTCGCGCGTTGCCTCGGCACTTTCTTCGTTCACTATCAGAAGCATCATGTCCTCGCTGAGCAGCTTGCAACTCATTCCAATGTTCATTGCGGTCTCCTGGCGATCGCCCGTCAGGACCCACACCTTGATGTTGGCCTGCTGGAGCGTGTGAATAGTCTCGGGTACACCGTCCTGGAGACGATCTTCAATGGCGGTCGCTCCGAGAAGGTAAAAGTCGCGCTCGATGAGTTCTGCCGCCTTGTCCAGCTCATCCGAACGGTTTCCGCCGACAGTCATACCGGCCTTTTCAAAGACCTGGAACCATTCCTTGAACTCCTGCTCGGGAACCTCACGCATCGCGAGGCAAAGTGTCCGTAGACCTTCAGACGCGTACTCTTCCAAGTGACGCAGAGTAGCTTCCACGTGCGGGTTCTGATCGTTAAGGCGCTCGAGGATGACGGTATCGGCACCCTTGCAGTACACGCGGACCTTTCCGTCGGGGCATCGGTAAATAGTCGACATGCGCTTTCGGGTAGAGTTGAATTCGCAGACGGCCAAGAGCTCATACTCGAGCTCGCGTCCTCCAGCCTCGATGAAGACAGACCTCGGCTTGCGATCGGTGAAGACGTACCCAAGGTCAGCTGCGCCCTCGACGAGCGCACCTTCATCGGGCGAAGCCGCTTGGTACTTGATTTTGCCGCCCTTTTCATCGCTTCTCTCGGGGATGACAGTGTGGCAAGTAGCCAGCAAAGCCAGGAAATGGTCAATCACAGGAGCCGTCTCGTGGCTCTTGAGGTTCTCCGCCAACCTCTTGTAGTCGTGGATTCCAACCTCGACACCATCCTGAAACGTCGCCCTGAGGTCTTCCGGCACATCCTCGGCATATTGAATTCCGCCAATCGAGGCCTGCTTGAACTCCATCATATTGCAGGTCAAGGTACCCGTCTTGTCGGAGAAGACATATTCGACCATGCCCAGTTCCTCAACCAAACTTGACGTTCTGCAGTTTGCCGGGGTGTCGGATTTGTCGTAGTAGATGTCCAAATCGTCGTTGATGAGAATTCCGTGCCAGTATTTGACCATTTCCAGCGTGACGAAAAGCGAAATTGGCACAAGGGAGGAGAACAGAACCCAGTATGTGACCATGTCCTTGAAAAAGGTTTTGACGATATCGTTTGCGGAACCGGTTGAGTCAAGCATCAGGTAAGAAAGGGCGTCACCCTCGACCTTGCGCTGAACAAGATCACCTACTGTGCAAATGACGCTGAGGACAAGGAGGATGCCGACGAGCACGAGAACGAGGATATTGAGCTTCTTTTCAACCTTTGTGCGCTTGATGGGTGCGGCCGTGGCATTACGCATGAGCTTTGTCTCGTGTCCGGTGAAGACAACCACGCCGTGGATCCAGGGCGTATTGCGAAGTGTGGCACCTCGAAGGAGAAGCTGCTCAGGGTTGAGGGGCAGCTCTTTCTCGCCACCACCCGCCTGCATCGTCAGAGTGGCCTCATATGTGTATAGACTGCTGTTGGGCTGTTCAGACTTGATTCTTCCGCCAAGTCGGCTCAGGTCGCTAGAGCTGACCATCGTGCATGTCTCGGGCAAAGCCTGCTTGATCTTCAAGTTTGTTTCTCCGTCGAGATTAGCTGTCTCGATGTAGCAAAGTCCCTCAGGCTCAGAACTCGCAAGCAAGACCAGATCGGCAGGGAAGGGCTCTTCTGACTCCACTCGGATAATGTCTCCAACCGCAACGTTGATCCATTTGGACTCCTGGAAGGCGGTTCCGCGTAGGATACGGGCCTTGGACGTGTTCAACTGGTGGTCGGCCTGCTTTCTGCGGTAATCTTCCACCAATTCCTTGCCTGCCGAAACCATCATGACGATGAAGAGCGGGATAATTGTGGTATATCTGTTGGTAGGCGAGAGGTTGGGGATTTGCTGGAGCGCAGCCGTGAACAGGAAGAAGATGTTGGCGAACTTTGAGAACTGCTCGAAGAGAAACTTTGGGAGGAAGGTCGCGACATTGTACTTGGCCGTCGAGATGTGGTTGTCGACGTATTTGTTCGCTGCGTTAGCGGGCGGGTTGTTAAGATGGATCAACCTCGGGCCCAGTGTCGAAGGGTCCGGCTTCTTTCCTCCAAACCCAAACTTGAAGTTTCCCATGTCGAACTTCTTGCCCCCCTGGGCTTGCGCATCGATGCCAGAGTCTGCCCGTCCGTTGCCGCCCGCCTCCGTTAAGGGCAAGTCCATCTCCGAGTATCCTTGACCCATCCCTAGCTTGTTCTTCATGCGGCCAAAGAAGCCTCCTCCCAAGCTCAGGACGCTGTTACGGTTCCGAGCGTTGGACCTTGCGGATGGATCTCCGACGTTGTTCGTACTCGTCGCGGCGCCGCCTTGTTGGTAGTATGATTCGCCTTCGGCCGAGTAGTCGTCAAAGTCGTCGGCATATCGCTGGTAATTGTTTAGTTCTGACGTTTGGCTGTAGTGTCTTTGCATGTATGGGCCGGAGGATGCGCCGTCAGGGATACCGGGCGACTGGGGGCCGCCAGGTAACGGCCTCAATGCTGAGGGTTGCTGTGTGTGATTCCCTCCTCCTCCGCCTCCGCCCACAAAGTCGTCATACGAAACGGAGGGTCGGCCTTGGGCCTGGTCTTGGTCGTGATTGTAGGAGCGTAATAGGTCGTCGTCGTTCATGTTCGATCGCTGTCCTACATTGTATATCGGTTGCTCGTTGTCCAAATCTAGTAGCAGGTCGTTATTCGAGGGTCCTGCAGGAGGACCTCCCGTCGGTCGTCCAGTCATGCCGAGAGGGCTGGTAGCGTTGCTGGGCGATCAAGGTGCAGGTATGGGAATGGCCAGCATGCGAATGTCGGAATGATTGGATTACCGTCGTGTTTCCGAACATATGAAGGAAAGGAGCGATGCAATCGAGAGGGTGCGGTCGCGCAGGCAATTTGGTAGCCTAATCGGTGGATGAAGGAGATTCGTATCGGTAGCAGGAGCGTAGCTGGAGGCGACGACGACGACAATCGGCAGTGAGAGCGACGCCGCAGCTGGGCGTTTGCTGAGGGTAGCTGATGTGGAGGGAAAAAAGAAGTGGCCCAGCAGTCCGTATTTGTTGCAGCACAGCCTCCTTCTGGCGCAGGATTAGCATTACACAGTGGTCGGCTTGCGCTACGTCAACGGGCTGAGTGCGCAGGTGTACCGTACCGTACCGTACTGGGTGAAGAGAAGAGAGTGGCCGAGAAGACGGTCTCGGTGGCAGTGGCTCAGAGGCAAAGCAACGCAGTCGCTATAATTGGCTTGCAAAGGTCGAGAAATCCAGAACAGGCGAGGACGTCTTGGAGACCGTCGAGAGGTCGAGAGGTCAAGAAATGAGGTGACGTGAGGTCTCGTCCGCGGGAAGGGTGGGATCTGCGGAAAGTCGTGTTTGAGGTGTTGGTGCTTGAATGGGGTGAATTGGGGGGGAGACGGCGCAAGGGAGTCGCCCGGATGAGACTGGGAGCTAAGCACCCAGCAGCAGGTAGCAAGGCGTGAGACTGGTAGCGTAAGGTCGGTAGCGTGGGTTTTTTTTGGGGGGGGGGGGGAAGGGCGCAGGGCCGGAGCAGCAAGCAGTGCAGATTGGAGACTCCAAACATCCAGGTTGAAAGGGTCTCGTTGGCTTGAAGGCGTGCCGGCCTGGTGTGGTACGTCTGGTCACAGCTGGCATTTTCCTCCAGAGGCAGGTACGGATACCTTACTCACGTACCTCCTCTGTACTTTTCTGGGTGAGACTGCGACTGGGCAATGGGATTGGCGGGCAAGGTTTTGGACTGCAGCTCCACCAGAAGGGGGCGCGTGGGGACGGTTGCTATTCTGAATCCTTGAGTGGCCGTTTTAATGGCCGGGCCCTGCACTGGTTGCATCTCCTCCTCCACATCTGATCCTCTGCTATCCTCGTACCGGCTGCGAGACCACAAGCTGACAAGGTGACAAACGAGAAGTTCAAAAACTGCGTCGACCCCAGCCACACCACCTACGATGACAGGGCGAAGTGGTGGATGTCGGCAGGAATGCCCGCCACGCCACTCTCGGTCAGTCAGCCTGCGCTTCCCCTCCACGCTACCTTGGGCACAGTCGCCAATCGTCAATCGAGACGTAAGGGGCGGACGGACATCTCGCACGGAATCTCGGGACCCCGTCACATTTAGCCTCCTCTGACACGAGCCAACGTTAGCCCGCCTTTGCTTAATGCTCGTTAGGTAAGTTCTGGTGTCATCGACGCCGCTCAGACCTGAGTGGCTCCAACGACCACCTAGCCGACGCCAGGACCAGCGTGTAAAACGGGCAAGACTGTCGAGACAGACGATGAACAATGGAGACAACGCAACGCTGCCCAGGCTATTGAGCAAGGTTTGATCAGGGCAGGACCTAAGCATCATCTCCCGCACAATGACAGAACCTTTTGGTTTGGCCTGTTTACCTCGCTTCCCCCCCGATGATCTGTGATTACCTGTGGAGTATCCGTATGCTACTCTCGCTCATCCCAAGTGAACAGACGAAATTTGACCCAAGCACGGGAAATTTCTATCCCCAGGCATTCTCCAAGACGCTGAAGAACTTGGTCAAAGAAGATCCAGTTTCAATTCCAAAAGTGGCTGGGGTCCCCGTAAAGTGAGGAAACAACTGAGAAGAAAGGGCCCCTATGGTGGCTACCGCGTGTACTGGGCCAACGGTCCAGACAAAACGGAACGTCCAATGTCGTCCACTAGTTCTCCAGGGCAGACATTCCACTCCCAGCCGTCATCTACATTGTAAGGTAGCCAGACTGGCAAGACCCACTAGGGAAACTTCAGCAAAGCATTGCCGCCCTGCGCGTGCCTGGGCGTTGCGTCACTTTCAGCTCCTCCTCAGCCACTTCACGTATCTTATCTTATCTCATCCATCCCACACCAGCCACTCATCCCTCACCCATCACCATCAACGGACAACGAATGGCCTTTGCTAATCTCAACTCCAACACGACCGACGACAAACCCATCCATCGACCCAAACCCGTCCCCAAAATGGTCTGCACAAAGTGCCAAAAGCTCGGCAAGGGATCCACGACCCTCGCCACGCCCTCCGTGAAGAAGAAGAGCGAAATCTACCACGGCTCCTCCTCTTCCTCCTCCTCCGCCACAAAGTCCGCGACCCTGGGAAACACCAGCATCGGCAAGAGCAAGCTCCTATCAAAGGCTGCCAAGAACCCTTACGCCCAGTACTCGAGCGCCTGCTCAAAGTGCAAGACAAAGGTCTCCCAGGGCCATTCCCTCTGCCAGTCGTGCGCCTACCGAGCCGACTCGTGCGCCTCGTGCGGCAAGCCGAACAAGAAGGCCAAGGGCGCCGCCCCCTCGGTCGCGGGACAGAAGTTTACCTTGAAGTGATGGGATGGTCATACGATAGGAGAATCGTGAAGACGGTTCCAAACCAAAAAAATAAATCACACGATACCGACGCAGTCGAGATAACACGATGACCTTTGGGATGCGCACCTGCCTACGACCAGGAGCTAGCGGCCGATCGGCTTGGAAGATGCTACAATCACTGGCGACTAGGCATCGCATGGCGATTGGGCCTGTGCGCGACCCAGTAGCTTATTCAGAAATCGTACGCGGCTCACAATGGACCAGACGCAGAGATATGGGATGCAAAAAGAGGCCGCCCCTCAAGTGTTGGTAGTCCGGCATCCCAGTGGGCAGAAGTCAGATATATGTGATATCAGTACGATCGTCAAGTAAGCCAGACGGCCTGGCGACATCTGATATTACTCATTCGTCCCGAGGCAAGGTAATCACAGTGCGAGGTTGTCATAGCTACCAAAGAGACTCAAGGATCAGTCAACACACAATCGCTTGGCTTATGAAATTTGACTTCATTCCATACTGACGTTCACTAAACGTCCCGAGCCATTTTCATTCCTGCCTGTCATATGTATAACCGTCAACGTCAAATCTAACCTCGTGCCCTCGAGCCGCAATGCGCTCTTGTCAAATCATTTCCAAAAAAAAAAAAAAAAAGAAGAAGAAAAAAAACTCACAGCGACGCCGTCGGCTTCTTCTCGACCTTGCTCTCGATCCACGCCTTGATCTGCCTATTCACCTCCTCGGGCGCCTCCCACAGCGCCCAATGCGTCGCCGTGACCTCCCCCCTCGACAGGTCCTCAAAGTGCTTGTCCATGCCCGCCGCCATGGACGGCGGTAGCGCCGCGTCCTTGGTTGCCGAGATGAAGAGGCTGGGCGGCGTCACCTTGTACGCCTCCCCGGCCTTGGCCGCCGCCTCCGCCAGCGGCAGCTCCTCGTCGTAGTTGATCTTGCGCGTGCGGTACCAGTTGGTCGGACCCCGCATGCCAGACTTGCTAAAGTTGTCGGCATAGTACGTAATTTCCTCGTCCGAAAGCAGCGGCGTACGGCCGATCTTGCCGACGTTCTCCCAGATGATGCCCCGCTCCGTGTTGAAGACGAGCTCGCCGTCGGGTCCTTTACCGCCGTAGATGCCCTGCAGGAACTGGCGGATGTCCTCGGGCTTGGTGAGCTTCTCGGGCACCTCTTCGCCGCGCAGCTGGAGCTGGTACTTGAAGTTCTTCAGGTGGCCCGCGGCGATGATGTCGGCGAGATCGAACCACGCCGTCGTGGGCGCGTTGTACGGCGTGCAGACGCTGAAGACGCCCTTGATGAGGGACGCGTGCCACATGGCGAGGCGCCAGACGAGGGCTCCGCCCCAGTCGTGGCCGCCGAGGATGATCTGCTCGCCGGGGATAATGGCGTCGCAGAGCGCCTTGATGTCATCCGACATGCTCTTGAGTGAGAACGCCTCGACCTCCGCGGGCGATGCCGTCTGGCCGTAGCCTAGGCAATCCGGGACGATGACCTGGTAGCCCTGGGCGAGGAAGAAGGGAATCTGGTAGCGCCAGCCGAGCGAAATGTCGGGGAAGCCGTGGATGAGGACGACGGAGCCCTTGGGGGCGGCGTCGCCCTCGGGCTTGCTGTAGAGGTAGGAGTAGGTCTTGCCCCGGACCTCGGCCTGCTTGCGCTCGACGCGCGGGTCGTTGGGGGCGATCTTGTCGACGGCCATCGTGGGCGTGTATCGATCGGTATGCGAGGTTCCGTCTGTGGTGAAGCTGTTAGAGGCCGGAGCGCAGAGAGGGGAGAAAGACCGCTCGCCAATGGCGGGGCCGAGGACTTATATACACACGTTGGCACTCGACGTCCGCCAAGCAGGGGTCCTTGCTTGTACAGCTCAAGAACCGTTGGTAGGCTCCCTCAGAAAGCTATTGCGGGGAATGGTGCAAGATAACGGGTGTGTATGTGTGTGTGTGTGTGCGTGCGCGCGCAGTTCACCGCCCCTCTCCTACAAGATCATCGAGAAGACAACACTTCTTATACCGTTCGAGTATCGCCGAGTTGCCGAGTTATGGAGCCAAATATCGCACTTGAAACCTGCCCGTTTGCTAAGAAAGCTACAGAAACTTGCCCCCCCTAAAAAAAAATCATACGAGCGGTGTAATTCGAGCCTCGGCATAGACGTGCGAGGTTTCGGGCTCTACCTACTTCGCACACAGGATATCATCGACCCGTTGGCATCAGCTTTGTCTGAGTGGAAGCGGGAGGGGCAGGACTTTGGTTGACAGGGAACATTGACGAGCGGCGTGGCCGGGCATCCACCCGCGCGGGGCATCGCGGTGCTGCCATCGGAGTCCCTTGATGAAATCGTCCTAGCGGGCCCCGTCCGTGCTGTTGCGATGCCTCGGTTCAGGAACACTTGAGACAAGGGACTCGCCATTGTTGGACGGTACTCGAAACGGTCCCATTGTCGTATCTTGCGGCAAACACATGGTTCAGAGTAAGATTTCGCTCTTCCTCAGCCCGGAAAGTGTAAATAAGCAGTCTAGGCGGGCCAAGAGTTCTTCAACGGCGAGGAACAGCTGTTCCGAACTAAAGCGGTCCCATATACTGGGACTAAAGCACTAGTACGGCACTGCTCTTATGCTTGAGTCAGAGCATGGCTCGACGTAAAGAGCCTATAATCCGGCGTACAAAATAGTCTGAATACCGTTTTTGGTACCGAGCTTGTACCAATACCACCGTGGATATCTTCCCTACGTAAATGAGACTCTGAACTCCAAATGGTATCATTACCCCCAACTTCGCCTTCAAACTCGCGCACAAAAACAGAAAAAGAAACAACAGCCTCCCATATCGCTGATTATTGCATTCATCACACGAACGGCCGTGGTTAAGAGCGTTCGCAATGAAACACTTGGGGGGAAAACACGCCATGCGCTTTGTCAGCCATTAGTAGATAACCATATCCTCGTCGTTTTCAACGACATCACCGGGTTCGTCGTGTGTCTCCCTCTCATGTTTATCTCTGTCGGGCGATGGGATTGTATGGTCGGCCGCTACGGGAGCATCAGCAGGAACCTCTGACGGAACCTCTGACGGCTGTTCCGTAACCATCGCCACAGGCTGCTCCTGGGCCGTCGGAGGCCTGGCTCGGCCGTAGCGTCTCTCATGTTCTTCTTTCCGATCTCTGAACGCCTCGAGTTCTCTCGCAATGCTGTCCTTGGCGTCTTGTATCTGGTCATCGATCTCGTCTTCTTGTTCTTTGGTGAGCTTCCACGGTCGGTAGTACTGCACACGTTAGCTTACAGCCCCAGCTTTGCGCAAGTGGTACACGCACAATTGAAGGCCCTGCTTTTGTTTGGAGGGATTGTGCCTTGGCAAGCATATTGGCATGCCGGGTTCTCATCTGTGGAAAGGAAAGTATAAGCACTTGGGCGAGGCCCGCAAGGGAGGGAGCAACACGCACAACTTTCTCATCGAATAAGATCTGCTCCTGCCACCGAGCTTCGGTGATCCGCGCAAGCTTCTCCGCCCTTCTCTTCTCGTCCTCTGCTCTTTGCTTCTGCGCCTTTTCCTGCTGCCGTTGCTCGATCTCCCGCCTCTTCTTGTGCTGCGAGCTCGAGTTGGTCTGGCTGAGGGTGCTCAGGAGACCTCCAAATAGTCGCTTACCCCGCTTCTTCTCTTCATCTCTCGACAGAGGCGCTCGTCGGCCGGTGCTGGCTCGCGAATCTTCATCGCGCGGCCTCGAATCTGGCATAGTATTCGTCGAGTATTGCGCAGGCGGGTCGTCGTGATCGCCATCATCGAATCTCGGTCTCTTTGATGAATTTTCCGCCGTATCGAAGGAGTCTATCGAAACTTTCCGCTTTTGTGTCACCTCCATTTCATCGCTCGCGTGTTCCGATTTGGTGGTGTCAGTGGGTGTCCTGGAATCTGTAAGCTTCCTGCTCGGTTCGAAGGGAGCTGATCTTGCCGTACTCCGTAACAGTAGCCATGATGATTTCGCTTCGGACTTTCGTGTTCAGTTTCCCTTATGCGACAATGTCAAAGCAAGCAATAAGTGAAGAAACGGTGCGCACAAAAAGAACCGAGTACGCCTCAGCTCCATGGTAGGTATCCCCCGAGCTCTCAAGCCCCATTTCGAGCTCCAAGGCTGAGGTTTGTCAGCGGGGTCCAGCCAGTCGGAGGGTGATCCCCCAGTCTACCCCACTTCGGCCGGATCAGACAACGGTCCGTACCAATGACCGAAAGAGAACCGCGAGGAAGATGTGGCGAGGCTGACAAGCCGGGACGCCTTTTCTCCCAGGTTCCTGGTAAAGAAGGGTACGATAATCCACGACTTGCGACCATCAACTCCCGCGACCCGCAGAACAGCACCTGCCAGACCTCACACTTCCGAGGCGCTCTTCTCCCAGTTTGCCCGTTATGTCGCGCCATCACCCGTAAGTCCTTTTGGTCCAAGTTTTTGTTTCGGCAATTCTAACACTCTACCGCCAGTGATCTCGTCATGTGCCGCAAGCAAGCCGGCATCGCCATCGGCCGCCTCTGCGACAAGTGCGACGGCAAATGCCCCGTGTGCGACTCCTACGTGCGCCCCACGACGCTCGTCCGCATCTGCGATGAGTGCTCCTTTGGCAACTACCAGAACAAGTGCGTCGTCTGCGGCGGCGCCGACGTGACGCGCTCGTTTCTTGGCTCGGCGGCCTCTTCGTTCTCCAACGTTGCCGACGACGGTCCTGGTGTCTGGGATTCCAGCAGCCGTCTTCTGGGTTGTGCCCTTTGCGGGATGA